GCAACTGCAATAACGGCATTGACACCCACCACGGTGTCTTTGAGATCTCACCCTTGCAACACCGCTGAACTCCCAGTATTTAGTTTGCGGCATTGTCGAACTCGTGACCGCGGCATCGTCAATCTCGCGATGCCGTTGTCGAACTCGCAACGCCGTTAAACTTGCGGCACTGCTACGTATCACGATACTGTTATCTCGCGGCGTGGTTGCACTCACGACACCGCCAAAATATAGTAATTATTTAAAATAATATTTTAGGTGTAAACAAGAACCAAGCTTATTCTTGCAAATTTTTCTATAAATATCAATCTTGGTAGCCAAATAATAGAATATACTGTACTCATCAATATTTCATGTTTCATTTCATGATTCATGATCCAAGATAATATTACTTACATGATAAAATGCTTATAACTTGAATCTCGATTCGCTAAATATATTTGTCCCCATCAATAAACTTCTACAAGGATTCTTTGTTCATTGACCTATCCGCAGCATAGTAGAGTACCATACTGTAGTTGGGTTTTGCTGCCAACAACTCTTTCCATTTAGATCAATTGCATATGAGCATATCCTCAACCATACCTGCAAGAAAACCACTAGAATAGGAACTAATAATGATTATAAATGATCATCAACCATTAAAAGGAGACAATATAACTAGCTTGGACTTGCAGTTGTAATTAACGGTAAGCTAGAAAGCCCGCTCGCTATCGTTTCACGTATCAGAAAATTAAGTATTTTCAAAAGTAATATTTTTAATGTTCACCCAAAACTGAAAGTAATATTATTTCATAGGTTTGTTATTTACAATAGATGAACTTGCATAAGGTAGAAGGGTCGTCGAATAGATTATTTATGTTTAAACTCCTCTCATGGCGTTATTGTTTCAATTTGTATGGCTAGTAGTTGATCATGTTGTAACTTTTATAGAATGAAGCAGCTTTTTCTAGATCTTTTGAAAAAGCATAAAAAATTGTTGAGTGTTAAGCTGAAAACCTATCTGAATTACTTTCTAAAAAAAATATGAATACAAATTCTAAAAATAAAAAATGTTTAAAATGGATCGCATTAGATTTATTTTATATTAAATAATATTTATTTGTAATTTATTTTTTATAATGATATAAAAGAAAGAAAATTATGTTTTCTAGAAAAAGAATAATATATGGTAAGGAAAATTTTGTATTTTCAAATCAGAGCTTCTGTTTTTAAGTTACGAAAAACTTCAGCTTTTTAAAAAGCGAAACTTTAGAGATGGTTGACTTGCCTTCACTTTTTGAAACATAAAACTTCTAAAATTCGGGTCAAACATAGTCGTACTCTTTTGGCTTTTTTTTTACTTTGAGGTAGTCGTGGTTCTCTTTTATGAAATTTTGGGACTGATTGCAAGTTTGAGGAGGTTCAACTCGCATTGATCGGGTCAAATTAGCTTGGATGCCCATGAATTTGGGTCTAATTGTCTTTCTCAAATAAAAGGAAAAGGTGCAATGAAAAACACTAAAGGTAAAACTCGCTACCGACTCAAAAGTCGTCAATACCAGGTTCAACTCGGTTTGACCTGGTTGAACCGAGTTTTGAGCAAATTCACACCTGACACAACTCGCCAATTACAAAAATAGATAAAAATCCCTCCCGCCGAAAACTTGTAAACACTGGGTTCAAGTCGCTTTGGTCGGGTCGAATTAGGTTGGATACTCATGCATTTGGGCTCAATTGTCATCCTCAACTTAAAGGGAAAGAAAAAAAAAATACTAATGGATAAAACTCACTCATGACCCTAAACTCTTGACACTGCGTTTAACTTGCTTTCACCGGGTCGAACCAGGTTTAACAAATTCACAATTTACCCAACCTGTCAATTACAAAGGGATAAAACTCGTTCTCGATGCAAAACTCGTCAACAATGGGTCAGAGTTCAATTGTTATTCTCAACGAAACGGAAAATGAGAAATAAAAAAACATTAAAGCATACAAAACTCGTTGTTTATCTAAAACTGGTCAACAACGTGTTCAACTCGCTTTGACAATTTTTTTTAACAAATTAACACTTTGTCCAACCTGACAACTAGAAAAGCGAATAAAACTCGCTCACAATACAACACTCGTTAATACCTTAGATTCAGGTTCAATTGTCTTCCCAACCAAAAGAAAAAAGAGAAATTCATAAATACTAACGTTAGTTTCAAGTCACTTTGTCCGATTCGAATTAGGTTGGATATCCATGGATTTGGGTTCAATTGCGACATATCTCAACAAAAAGGAAAAAGTGAAAGAAAAATAACACTAAAGCACACAGAACTCGGTACCGATACAAAACTTGCCAACATTGAGCAGATCTGGTATGGATCTGTAGTGGTATTGGGAAACAGTGGAGGGGGACAACTTATAATTCTGCTTATTGTATTTTGAGAAGGTTGGACAAAGCATTGGACAGAGCATATCTAGTATGGATCTTTGGTCGGGCCATGGCAAACAGTGGAAGATGACAACTCAGGATTCCAATGACACTGTCTCGAGTTGTGTTGCGAAATGGTGCGAAAATGCGATGATTTGGGTTCAATTGTGATGATACTCAACAAAAAGGAAAAGGAGAAAAAAATACTAAAGAGGATGAAACTCGGTCCCGATACAAAACTCGTGGTAACTCACAACCTAGGCTTCTGTATATTAATTAATGTTTGGGTTCGATTGTGATGATGCTCAACAAAAAGGAAAAGGAGAAAGAAAAAACACTAAATAGGATGAAACTTGGTCCCGATACAAAACTCGTGGTAGGGGCCTTGGGTTCAAGTTAGGATACCTTTGTGTTTGGGTTCAATAGATGTAAACCTAGAGAACAATAGCTAAACACAAAGGTGGTAGAATGGAGAATGGGGTAAAAGAAACAACTTGGAACTTCCCCACTTGCACTTGGAGGAGTGTCAGAGGTGGCAAATGGATTGATCCATGGATTGGTGGATCCATGGATCAAATGGATTAGATCCAATGAATAAGTGGATTCATGGATTGGTGGATTATCCACGAATCCAAATGACATCCTCATCCTTGGACCAATATGTAAAATGTGAAAAGTTTAGGTACTAAAAGTTCATAATGAAAAAATTTAGGTACCAAACGTAATTTTCGAATGATATTTTTCGTATAAAAAATTAAATTTCGGGTACCAAAATGTAAAATATAAAAAGTATAGGTACCTAACTGTAATTTGCCATTTTGATCCATGGATCAATCCATGAATCCACCAATCCAATTGGATTTGGATCAAATGGGTTGAATTTAAATGGATTGGATTAGGTGGATATATTTAATGGATTGGTGGATTGGATTGGTGGATTGATTGAAAATTGTCAGCTCTAAGTGTGTGAACCACTAATAAATAGTAACTCACAACCTAAACTTTTATATATTATATATTATTATTATTAATTAATTACTTATTACCGTTTAGGTCACACCCTGCCTGGAACGAATCCAGGATTCTAGAAGCAATGCAGCAAGGGATCTCAGTTGAGTTAATTAATCAGCTAGCTCGTTGGGCTCGATCATCGATGGACGATGGTCAGGTCAAGTAGTTCCAGTAACAAGTGATTAATTATGATAAGGGGATGTATTTACACCTAAAATTATTTTTTATTCAATTAAAAGCCGCATTAATGAGTTTCGGCATTTAATTCGATACCGCGGATAAAAAACGGTGTCGTTTGGAGTTGAGCGACATCACGGAGGGTTAAAACAACACCGCAAGGAAGCTCAACGGTACCGCAGAACTGGAAACGACACATTTTGCCGGAGAACAAGAGGTGGGCCGCACGGTTAGTGTTGGTGTTGGAAAAAGATTTTTATTATTTATTACTTGTCGGAAGGGGAGAAGCGATACCGCATGGAAACAAGCGGCATCGCGGAGAAGTAAAATGATACCGCAGATTTAAAAACGACAATGTTTAATATAAAACAATGTCGTGGAGAAAAAAAGCAGATAGAGTTGTTTGGGAAAGAAAACGGCATCGCGTGAGACCCAACGACGCTGCATGGTAAACAATTTCAGCGGTCAACAATGCCGCGGAGTTAAACGATGTCGTAAATTCAATTTTTGAATTTGACAGTGATGCGAGCTCAACGACATCGCAATGGGTAACAACACCGATCTCAACGATGTCGTGAGGTTAGAAATGCAATGTCCCAAGTCCGACAATGGCATGGAGTTTAATTACCAACACCGTTGCGGGTCTTGCAAGGGCGCGATTTCAATTAATAATGCGGTTTTGTTAATAATTTTGTGGCTCAAATCCATGACGGTATTGTGGCCATGAAATAACAACGTCGCGGTTCGAACCGCGATATCGGTCATGGGCTTAGGTACTTCACACGTGTGTCTCATGTGGATAAAAGTGGAGGTTGGAGATGCATTGTCGGCAGTTTACAACGGTGCAACGACGATTTGTTCTTTCACGTAAGATTCACGCCAACTAGAGCGAGGAGGAGATCAAGGCGGTTGAGACATGTGGGAGTTCACCACGGAGCAGTTGGGGAAGCGGTTTCACGGAGCGTGAAGACTACGAAGATGCTTTTCGAATAAAAGCACCAGAGCAAGGAGAGAGAATGGACAACCAAAAATCAACACAGAACAACTCTGTCAAAACTTTACCTTTTCTCTATAACTCCTTCGCGGAGCTCTCCTTCTAGTAAGGATCTCCATACTTGGTGGAAGTAGTCGTAGTCGCGGAGCTCTCCACAGGAATCTCCATAGGAGTAGGGCTGCTAACCGGTAATCCGGTTAACGTGTTAACCGATAACTGTACCAGTAACCGGTGGTTATCGGTTAACCCGTTAACCGAATCAAACGGTAATCGGATGGAATTTTTGGGGGATCGGTGTACCGAGCTCGGACCGGTAAATTACCGTTGGCTGAACGGTATTCCGATACCGATTTGGACTAAGCAATCGCCATTCGCCAAACCCAAACGTCGGCAACTAATCAAAAGTCCAAAGTCTCCAAACAGAAGCCCTATCCTATATTTGCAATTTTGCATCGCGCTCTATTTCCCCTGCAGCCCTACCCTGCTGGCTGCTGCACGAGAACGACTGCACGATTGGTCGATTGCCGTCTGCTGATCACTCTTCCGTTCATCCAATCCGACAGTAGCTTCGTCGTCTCCGTCGCCGGCAACAAGTTGTCAAGCTCCATCCAAGCGACAGACACGACACAGTCCACCAGCTGTCATCCTCACCGCCAGCCTCTGTTTCCTGCAAGCCCTTCCGTCGTTGCCCTATTTTCGTCGAACCCCGTTGCCGTCGATCGATACCGGTAGGCGGTAGTCTCTTCGTCGTCCTCGTCGCCGGCGCAAGCTCCGGCCAAGAGATACGACCCAGCAGCTCGCCCTTCGTCGTTGTCCTTGTTTGCGTCGAACCTCGTCGATTGCACAGCCCAGCAGCTCGCCCTCTCCGACTCTCCGTCGATTTGAAAGGTAACTGGAGTAGCCGCGTAGCCGAGTACGTAGGCTGTTACCATGGTCCATTGATTTTTGCCATTACCATGGTCCACTCATTGATTTGTCATTTGTCGATTGTCGTAGACTCGTAGTCTCAACTCTCTTGTAGACTGTTGCCGAGCAGAGAAGAGAGAAAGAGAAGCATGGGATTTTCAGTTTTGGTAGAAGTAATATATTAAGAATTAGTTTTTGTTGTAATTTGTAATTTTGTATTATTGATTTATTGTTCATTTTTGGCATAAGGCAGAAGCAAATCGCAATTTATAATAAAGTGAAAAACAACTAAACAAGGGGTGGTACAGCCGATCACAGCCACAAGGTCAACTGGTCAAGGGGTGTTTTTTGATTATTTGTTACTTGAGAAACAAAGTGAAAAATGTAAGATAGTGGTTTAATGGTTTATGGTTGGGTGGTTTTTGTTTTTTGACATGTTTGCAATTGCATTTTAATGATTTTTACTTTTTATGATATTTTACTTTTTGTTATATGACAAAACCTTCTCGTCCTCGTAAAGGAGATGGTCCGAAAAAAAGTGGTTCAATTCCTCCTCGAACTACTTCCAAAAAATTGGGTACTCGTGTTGGAGTTGCAGAAGAGATTCAAGGGAATGTCACATCTAGTACACCTACACCTACCACAGGCATTGAATCTGCACCTGCTACAGCTACTGCAACACCTGCAGTTGCTATGCCAGCAGATGGAGTGGTTGAGCCAAAGAAAAATGTGAAGGGACCGGGAAGGAAGAAGAGATCCCCGTGGTGGGATCCTTATGATGAGATTCTGGTGGATGACTACCCATATGGTAAATGCAAACAGTGTGGAACTTTGATAAAAGCTCACTCGATCAATAACGGGACTACTGATTTGAAGAACCATCACTTGGCATGCGAGAGAAAGAGGAAGGCAGCCATTGGTCAATCACTATTGAATTATCAGCCTGGGGATGGTGATGTAGGCTCTCTTACTCCATGGAAGTTTGATCAACAAAAAGCTAGAACTGCATTAGCTGTAATGATCATCTTGGATGAGCTGCCATTTCACTTTGTTGAGCATGAAGGGTTTAAGAGATTTATGGCGGAACCCCAACCATTGTTTGTGATACCTGGAAGACAGACAATAAGGCAGGATTGTTATATAATCTTTTTGGATAAAAAAGAGTTGTTATCTGAGTTCTTCAAATCCAAGTGCAAAGGAAGAATTTCTATCACCACAGATACATGGACTTCTGATAACAACCAGAACTTCATGTGTGTAACTGCTCATTTCATTGGGAGTGACTGGAAGCTGCAGAAGAGGATCATTAGCTTTGTTCCCATCACTAGTCATAGTGGGAAGGATAATGCAGAAAAATTGGCAGAATGTCTACAAGATTGGAAAGCGCAACATTTGTTCTCCATTACCATGGATAATGCTTCTTCTAATGATGTTCTTATAGAGTGTATGAGAACAAAGATGAAAGAGTGGGGAACAGATTTGCTTGGTGGGAAGTATTTGCAATTTCGATGTGTGGCACATATAATCAATTTGGTTGTGTCAGATGGGTTGAAGGAGGTTGGAGTTGCTGTAGAAAGGGTTCGAGATTGTTTGAAATGGGTGAAGTCATCACCAGGTAGAAGTACAAAGTTCAAATCTGCCATTGAATATCTACAAAGGGATGGAAGAAGACTTGTATCTTTGGATGTTCCAACTAGGTGGAACTCAACTTATTTGATGTTGGAATCTGCTGAAAGGTTTGAGCTTGTTTTTAACTTCTTGCATGCGAGCCCCAATGATTCTGCATTTCGGGATTATGTGGACTCAAAGAGAGGTCCTCCAACTAAGGAAGATTGGAGCAATATTCGGCGGCTAATGAACTATTTGAAGTTCTTTTATTTGCTCACCTTACGGGTATCGGGTATGTGAACAGAACTCCACCTATTCAAATTCATGGTTTTTACTTTTATTAACTTGTAATATGTGAGTAATTTGTTGTTATTTTTTGATGTATTAGGAACATCTTATGTGACTGCTCATACTTTCTTCAAGGCTGTGGCTGACATCTATGAAGTGATAGAACTTCTTAAGAAAGACATAGATGTAGAGATACAGCGGATGGCAGAAAGAATGGAGGCAAAGGTACGAAAGTATTGGTTTGAGAATGATGATGATGAGGTGGAGAACCTAAGGATAAATAGACTGGTTTACATGGCTTGTGTGCTAGATCCTAGGCGTAAAATGGCTTATTTGTCTTGGATGTGGGGTAAGATGTATGGGAAGAAGAAAGGAGATGATTTGGTGAAAAATGTGACTGCAGAGATGACTGCAATGTTTGAGGTTTACAGATTGAAGTAAGCACCTCAACCCTCCGAGCCTACTGTTCAGGCCACTCCTAGTGTTGATGATGGATCTGCATCTTATGGAGGGACATTTGATGCTGAATTCAAGAAGATGAGAAAGGAGCAACTTCAGATGGGGATTCGAGGTTTTTCTGAGCTAGACATCTACTTAAGAGATGCTAATGATGCTATTAACGAGGATGATAATGATATGAAGTTTGACATCTTGCTGTGGTGGAGTAAGAACGACGTTAGATATCCTATTCTTTCCCAGATGGTTAAGGATATCCTAGTTGTTCCAGTCTCCTATGTTGCCTCAGAGGCCGCTTTCAGTTGTGGAGGTCGAGTGCTCAGCCCGTTTAGGTCTTCGTTGAGCCCCATCATTGTAGAGGCATTGATTTGTGCTGAAGATTTGATAAGGTTTGAAGGAGGGAAGAAAGCAGAAAAAGTTGATGATAAAGAAGATGAAAATCAAGACCAAATCGATTATGAGAGGGGTAAGAAATAAGAATTCATTTTTTTATTTTTAAGTATTCCTTTACTTATTTTCCAATAATATATTATAAGATGAATTCTAAAAAATTTTATTTTTTATTACACTTAGTCACTACTAACTTCCAAGCTCGAATGGAAAGTGCTACTGTCATGCCAAGTGAAGGTGACAAACAAGGTTTACCTGTTGTGCTGGAGGAGGAGGAGAAAGATGAAGAGGAAGATTCAGACGAGGACGAGGAGGACCAAGATGAGGAGGATGCTGGTGATGATACCCTTCGCACCACTTTGAAGTAACCAGGTTTCGTTGATGTTGGTGGTAAAGGTCCTAGTGGACAAGGAGGAATTGGTGGCAAGTGAGAATCTAGTGATTCGATTTTTTATAGTCATTTTTTAGAACTTAATTGAAAGATTTAGAAGCACCAGACGAGACTGCTCCCTTTGAAATTATAGCTACATAGACTAATGCTATTTTTTATCTTTATTTTTTGGTATTTGCTATTTGGAATTCAATTGTTGGATTTTTTCATTAGCCGACTAGACAACAGCCTGCATAGTAGTCCCTGTCACTTATTGAATTGAATAATTGATGAATTCACGTGTTGGAAACTTGGAGAAATTATATGCTTATAGCTTAATAGCTAGCTACGTGCCTTGCGTTGCGCCCTTGCCTACGTGGTCACTAATCAGTCACCAAGAATTATAGCTACGTCTACGTGGGTGGTGGAGGAATTTTAACCTTTTTTGTTTCATTACCACTGCAACTGGTCACTATCACAATTCACAGACCCACAGACGTTCTCTTTCTCTATCAACACTATCACTATTCACTCACCCACCAGTCACCATTCACCAAGACAAAAGGCAAAGTAATATATTTTTCTTATAAAAAAAAAAGACAAAAGGCAAAGTAGTGGGCAACATCAACATGGCAAGTCACCATTGGTCCATTGCCAATTTGGCCCAGCCCTTTCCACTTTATTCTTTCTTTCCCAGAAGAATTGCCATTTGCTGGGCCTGGAAGAGAGACACCGCCTCCATTTCGGGACTTCGGGAAACCGATTCCTTAACCGAGACCGTTTCCAAATGGTTGGAGGTATACCGAAGCAAAACGGTATCGGCAGTCGGCGCCTGCATCAGGTCAATCGGTATACATGAAACCGGTTAAACGGTAACCGGTAAACCATTAACCGTACCGGTTAGCACCCCTACACAGGAGTAGTCATAATGTAGATTCCCCAAAACTCAAACACCATCGTTCGAACGTAGTTTGGAGAGGTGCGAACCATAGTAACAGTCACGTTGGTTAGAAGTCAGAGGTGCATCGATCAGATCAACATCGCCCGGCGGTGGATATTTGACGGTCACGTCATTTTCACCATTCAGAGGTGCATCGTTCAAATCAACATCACACGGCGGTGGATATTTGACGATCGCCATCGTTTTCAGAAGTCAGAGTTGCACTGATTAAATCAACACCGCCCGGTGGATATTTGACGTTCGTCTCGATTTCATCAGTCGGTGGTGCATCCGATCAAACTGCACCACAAGAGTTTCCATCGCGAAACATCAAATCAACACCGCCCGAAAACGAATTCGGCACCGGCGGTGGTATTTGGTTTTTCTGAGGAAACATTTTGGCACACCTGGTGGGACACGTGTGTTTGAAGTGAAATATGGCTCTGCGACATGGAAAACACAACGTTGATCTTCCACAAGAATCTGTGAAGGTGGAGCGTGTGGTCGACATTGAAGTTGGTCGAGCAGATGAGGCAGATAGACATATCGGTTGGATGAAGGAGTGGCCCCAATCCATGTCGAACACCGATGGGCATGATGCAATCCTGTCTCTTCGTCGATCTGTGGAGGAGTATTACCGGCAGGTAAATCTCTATTTTATCTCTTTAAATAAGCCTTGTGATTCTGTTGGAAGGCATATGGATAATTTTTTTGAGATGGTAGATGATCATGTTTCCGGTATTGCCAATAAGGATTCACTTAAACCTGTGGCTAAAACAGTGTCGTTAGGGGCCAACAAATCTCATGTTGGTTCTCCTGTGAACACTATTGTTTTGAAGGACAGAAAAGTTAGAGATGTCTTGCGAAAGCCACAACAAAGAACAAAATTTAAACGTGTTTATAATAAGTTTCAGAAAATTAGGAAGAACAAGAGTGATATCTTGAAAGATGACAAATTTTACAACATTGTTCAATCTAAACCGCTAGGGGGCATGAGATCCCACCGCATGGCCGGTTGAAAGAAAAACAACACCGTAAGTGGCAAATAAGTTTGCCACATCCACCCCATTCTAGGAAAAATCAAACTAGGATCACCACAAACACTACTCAAGATGGAGGTGGTGACCACGTGAGAAAATCTAATGCCACCAAAGTGGGCATGAATCAACAGAACCCTCATTGTAATTTGT